CCATCATCACGGACGAGTTCACCGCCGTCACGGAGCCGCGCTGCCGCCGGTCGGCGTGGTGCGAGTCGCGGCGCCGCGGCGCGGTCGCCGCGCGGCGCGCGTCCAAAAAGCCCTCGACGATCTTGTGCGCCTTGCTCCCGGCGACCGTGGCGTGGACCGCGCCCTTGAAGTGGGCCCGGGCGCCCGCGTTGCGCTTGCCCTTCTTGCCCTTCCGGCCGTTCGGCGTCGCCTCCTCCGCGGAGCGGTCGTCGTCGTCGTCGTCGCACCACTGCGTGACGAGCACGCCGCCGGCGACCTCGCCGAGCCCCCCCTCCGTGCCCTCGGCCTGGGAGTTGCGCCGCCCCGACGCGTTGCCGCCCTTGGGGTCCCACTTGGGGCCCCGGCGCTTCACGGGCACGAGGAGCTGGGGCGCGACGCCCGCGCGGTGCGTCGCCGCGGGGACGACGACGCACGAGTTGTTCGCGATGGTCTGCGCCTGGGCCTCGTGCTGCGCGCGCTCGAAGCGGGCGCCCAGCCGGTCCTCGGGCTCGAAGCCCAGGGCCGACGCGGGCCCGTGGGCGCCCTTGCTCGCGTGGGACCCCGCGGCGCCGGACGCGTCGTCGCCGTCGTGGCGGCCCTCGCGCTTCTCGCGCGCGCGCACCTCCTTGAGCCGCTTCGCCGTGCGGTGCACGTCCACGATGGTCCCCCGCGCCGCCGTGCCCCGGCGCACGTGGCGCTGGCGCGGCGCGTGCGTCTTGCCGTAGGTCATGTTGAACGAGCTCAAGCGCCGCTTCTGCTTCTCCCAGGGGAACGGGTTCCGCGCGGGCCGCACGACGTCCAGACCCGCGGAGACGATGCGCTTCTGGAGGAGCGTCAGGTGGTCGTACTCGCCCATGGTCAGCGGCGGCTCGCTGGCCGACGGCTGCGACCGGTGCCGCGCGAGGAGCTGGAGGTAGACGTTGAAATCGCCCTCGGCGAGGTCCGCGGTCTTCCGGAAGGGCCCCGCGGCCCAGTAGCGCTCCCAGGCCTCCTTCTGGTCCTTGGACCGGTTCTTGAGGTTCGCGTGGCGCGTCGTCACGGACATGCGCCGGCTCGGCATCTTCCTCGTGCCGCCGGGCGTCATGGAGCTGCCGCCGCCGGACGACACGATGCCGCTCAGCGACGCATCCTCCTTGGCCGCCGGCGTCTCGGGGCGCGCGGCCTTCTGCGGCGTCTCCGTCCCCATGGTCGGCGCGACCGAGGGCCCTAAACGGCGCGGCTTCCGGCCGGCTCTCGCATCGTCTTCGAGCGCGCTGATCGATACAACTTCACGACATCTTCACCATGCAGATCATGTTACCCATGTTAACATTTGAACGCTGCCCGGAGGCAGCGCCGTCGGCTCTGCCCGACGCGGCTGCGCCAGCGCCGTCGGTGCGGCCGGCCGTCGGCGCGGACCCGCAGCGATCGCCGCGCGCGGCGGCCGCGCGCGCGCGCACCATGGCCGACGGCGAGCGCCGGCCGTCCAACTCGTCGAAGACCATGCCGGCCAAGAAGGCCGGCGTGCCGCGCCAGGCCAAGCCCAAACCCAAAAAGTACGAGGGCCGGCCGAACACGGCAGCGGCGCAGGGCCGCGCCATCGCCTTCACGACCGAGGACGAGTTCATCGACCGCTTCAACGACCCGGCGGAGGACGACGGCACGCGCGGCATGCTCCGCCACTACACCGACGGCTTCCGCTACACCGTGTCCAAGCCGACGCCCAAGTTCCCCAAGAAGCCGAAGAACACGGGCATGTTCGGCTCCGCGAGCGCGCCGGCCCTCGACGCGCCGGAGCGCGTCTCCCTCGTGTCGGCGCCCGCGCCGCCGCCGAAGGTCGTCGTCGAGCGCGCCGAGCCGGCCCCTAAAGCTCCCGACGACGCCGACTCCGAGGAGTCGAGCGTCGCGAACAAGGCCATGACCCAGGTCGTCGCGCGCGTGAAGCTGTCCAAGGAGCGCCAGGCCGAGATCGACAAGGAGCGCAAAGACGCGCGGCGCGCGGAGCTGAGCAAGATGTCGCTCGGCGACGCGCTCCGCGAGCTCATGGCCGACTGGGCGTCGACGACGGAGGGCGGCGCCATCCTGCGGCACGTGCCGGCCCTCCCGCTGGGCATCTTCGACGACGCGGACCACGTCGAGGTCGCGGGCCGCGCGTGGAAGCGGCGGCCCAAGGGCAGCGCGAACGAGCGGTGGGCCGTGGCGCTGCGCAGCGACGACATCGGCGAGGAGGACGACTACAAGACGCACCACCACCACGCCGTCGACTCCTGGACGCGGCGTCTGGGCACCTGGTGCCCCTGCGTCGTGCTCACGCACGGCGACGAGTCGCGGCCCGAGTCGGCGCTCGCGCGGCTCCGCGCGACGGGCGAGGACCACCTCGTGGAGTGGGCGGACAAGTACAACGTCGAGGCGCGCGCGTCCTGGGCGGCCCAGGCCTGGGTGCCCGCCGTGGCCGTCGTCGGCGTCTGGCAGGACCGCTTCACGGCGGCCGCGCGGCTCCAGGGCGCGCTCGCGCGACGGGCCGCGTGCGAGGAGCGGCTGCGGTTGCGCCACTTCTTCGAGTCGGCGCCGGAGAGTGCCTTGGTCGTCGCGCCCTTGTTCGCCGACCTCTTCCCGAAGTTGCCGGACGCCATGCGGGCCATGATCGTCGACATGCCGCGCGCGCGGCTCTCCCGGGCCGAACTCTTGCCCGAGGTCGCCGCGCAGTTGCGGGAGATCGAGCGCGACTACGGCGTCGCCATGCGCGGCCACGTCTTCGGCGAGGTCGCCAAAGCGGGCCGCGACGGGGGCGGCCCCGCCGTGGACCGCTGGCTGCTCAGCTCCGACAAGACGCTGGACCTCGACGCGTTGGACGCCGTCGCCGTCTGTGTGGAATTCAACCACTGGTTCGGGTGGTCCTGACCAAACTCGAGAATTCTCTAGCTCGGTCAAATCGAAGTCGATTCGGCTGATTTTTGGACGAATCGATTGCTCTCGTCGAGTTCTCGAAGCACGGCCGAAGAGCTTGCGTCGAAACTGTCGCATATGCGCACATTGAAGTCGGGTTGAAGATTTGAATTCCACACAGGTCGCCGTCGAGCTCGCGCCGGGCACGACGACCGCGGCGCTCGACGACTTCGTCAACGACGCGACGTTCCGCGACCGCGCGGCGACGCGGGCGCGCTACGACGAGGCGCGGTTCCGCCTCTGCGTGGCGTCGGGCGAGGCGTCGCTGCCCGCGTCGGCGCGCGCCGCGTCGGCGTACGTCGTCGTCGGCGACGCGAACCCGGCGGCGTCGCGCGTCGGCGAGGCCGCGACGCCCCAGGCGCTCGACGCGTCGGGCAACGTCGTCCAGCTCCAGTACGGCGTGTCCGTGGGCGGCTACACGAAGCTGAGCGGCGCGCTCGCGGCCGGCGACTTCGGCGACATGCCCGCGCCGTCGATCCTGGGCAGCGCGCCGGCGATGAAGGCCGTCCAGGTCGCCCAGGGCGTCAACGCGGATTTGGAATGCGAGTTCCTCAAGGTGACGCGCGACGCCGTGGTCTGCGTGTCGCCGTCGGCCTACAAGCGGCTCCACTTCGACGCGCTCGCGCGGTCGCTCGACGCGATCGAGCGCAAGTGGCCCAAGGCCGTCGCCGACGCCGTGCGCCACGCGCTGCTCGACGGGCCGCCGGAGTTCGACCCGACGGGCGTCGTCGCCGGCGACGGCTTCTTCGGCGACGAGCACCCGTCCGGCGGCGGCGCGAAGCCGTCGGCCGCGGCGGTCCGCGCGTCGCACCGCCAGGAGCCCCTGCGGCGGTTGCTCTTGCGCGTGCGCGCCATGATGTCGACGGAGCTGGACGTGATCCTACGGGCGGCCGTGGGCGACTACGTCGCGCTCGCGGAGAAGGCGTCCGACGACTCGGAGATCTTACGGCGGAAGACGTTCCTCAACAAGCCCTGGTTCCGCTTGGAATTAAAGATCGTGCCCCCGGAGGCGCCCGAGGAGGCGACGGAGACGCCCGCGCAGCGCGCGGCGAAGCGGCGCAAGTCCGTGCGCGCCTGGACCTTCGAGAAGATGGCGACGTTGAAGGAGGACGTCGGCGACGTCGAAGCGGCGCTCGCGGGCCCGCTCCACCGCATGTTCCAGGGCTGCAACAACATCCAGGACCCCTGCGGCTTGGTGCTCACGCAGCTCAAGTACGTGCCGCCGAACCCGATCCACAGCCCCTGGGACGGCAACATGCACCGCACGTCGGGCGTCATGGCGCCCGGCTGGGTGTCGTCCGCGCTGAGCCGCCTCGCGGCGTGCGCGACGACCGCGCGCAAGCCCGTGGAGCAGTACCTGAACCACGTCGGGACCGTGGTGCAGAAAGAGATCCGCGCGCGCGACTCCGCCGAGGCGTCGCAGATCCGCAACTACCGCGCGGTCCGCGAGCACGACCTCACGGTCGAGGACGTCGAGGCGCTGAGCGCCGCGGGCGGCCCGCCGGAGGAGGAGGACGACGACGACGACCACGAGGGCGGCGACCAGTTTCGAGTGAAGGACGATTCGCTGGATAAGGAGGACGAGACGCCCGCGCTCCGCGCGGTCCGCGGCGCGATCACGCCCGGCGGCCTCGGGCCCGCGCCGCCGAGGCAGATCGTCGACGTCGGCGCCATCGCCAAGGAGCTGGAGTTGATGCGCCTGTCGGGCCAGCGCTGCGCCGACGGTCTGGACACGTCGCCGAACCGGGTGTGCGCGTTGGTGGAGGTCTCGGTGACCGCGGTGCGGGCCGAGCTCCTGAGGCAGCACGAGGAGCTCATGAACCAGATTCTGGACGCCCACGGCGAGCGCGCCTGCCAGATCGGCGAGTGGTGCGAGGAGCGCTGGAAGAAGATCCAGGCCGTGCTCGTCATCAACGCGAACGACGCGAGCACGACGGTGGCGCTCGAGACGTTCCTCGCGTGCCTGCCGAATTTCCTGGAGCCGTTGCTCAAGACGGCGACGGACGCCAACGAGCTCGCGCAGCTCTGCGCCCAGTACGGCCGCCCCCTGGAGCTTCTGGCGGGGTTGCAGGTGTCGCGCGCGGCGCTGAGCTGGGCGCCCAGAGTCAGATCCGCCGCGGACCGCGCGGCGACGGAGGCCGCGCGCGCGCGCAAGGAGCACGCGGAGCGGCTCAACGCGCTGCGCGACGCCTACGAGCACCGGCTGGCGGCCTGCGCCGCGCTCGTGCGCACGACGGCGCGCTACACGCCCCAGTTCCGCGGCGAGCGCGAGTTCCTCGGCGCCGCGGAAGAGATCGCGAGCCGCTACCACGACATGCACAAGTGCGACCACCGGCTGCGTTTACTGGTAGACCAGTTGGTGAGATTGCGCAAAGCCGAAAAAGTCCTGCGCAAGTTCCCCCAGACGCCCAAGGCGCCGCTGCGGGCGCTGCGCATCGCCTTCGAGCCCCACCTCCACGTCGCGCGCGCGTGCGAGCGCCACTTCCAGTTCGCGAACGCGCTGGACGCGCGGAAGCTCGGCGAGCCCGACGACGAGAAGGACTCGGGCGCGAAGCTCATGGCGTCCCTGCCGACGACGGTCAAGTGCGCGCGGCGCGCGCTCGAGCTCTTCGAGCGCCGCGTGGCCAAGCTCGAGGCGCGGAAGAAAGCGAAGAAGAAGGGCGGCTTCGCGAGCGCCATCGGCGGCGGCTCGTCGCCCGACGACGACGTCGACGCCTCCGAGGACGCGTCCCTCGTGGAGGCGGCGCTCAAGTGCGGCGCGCAGACCGTCGCGGAGCTGAGCGACGACGACGACGACCGCGGTAAGAAGAAGAAGCCGAAGAAGAAGGGCGACGAGGAAAAAAAGGCCGCGGACGACAGTTACGACCGGGAGAAGGAGTTCCCCGTCTGGGACAAGCTCGAGATCGCGCGCATGGTCGCGCGCATGGGCACGCGGCACCTCCAGCTCTGGGAGGGCATCGGCGACCTCGAGGTCGGCTGCGCGGACCCGCGGAAGAACGCGGACCGCCCCGCGGCGCTGCCGGAGCTGACCATCGTCCAGTTTTATGATCACGGCGGCATGACAGCGCCCGACCTGCTCGGCGGGTCCGACGAGGTCTGGCTCACGCGCCAGGACAAGCTCTCGATGATCGAGATCTGGGGCGCGCGGCTCGAGGCGCGGCTCCAGACGGGCGGCATCGTCCAGAGCCGCAGGATCGGCGAGATCAACCGCTTCGAGGCCATCGTGAAGAACCGCTTCGAGATCGCGTCGCTCGCCGACGG